AGGCCTCTCTCATCTTTTTAAATGGGAGAACCTGCACAATTGGTGGCTGACTAAATACTTTTTTGCCCCACTGTAATGTAGTTTCTAAAGGTTGAAACCAAGCCTGTGTTTAAAGTTATTACACATTTTTATTTCAGAAAACAGGGAAACAAATTGATATGCTCAAATTCCCCCAACATTAACAAGAGACATGAAACAGCCACCCCAAGAATGTCTACTTCAAGGCAGCAGTTTTGGGTACATTCAGAAGGTACAATTGAGAGCAAGTATAGTTTGGCTCTGAATACACATGAAGACTCCTCCTTCCCAAATGACACAACTGTAAACTATCCACCTGTGCTTACTTTGAATTGATTGTATTGTCCAAGCAAGGTGCAATGGCTTCATCCAGCTAAAACAAGCCAGAAACTGAAAATGAGTTCCAACCAGAAGAAGCTACATAACAACTAAAAACAAACAACAAATCGATAGCTTACTGCAGCCACATTGTGGAGGCCATCCTTGGCACATTCATGTCTAGACTGGTGTTGACTATGGATGTACCATTAAATATATCCCACTTACAATAAGATAATGGCAATACTGTATATGAAGTAGCAAAATAAGGAGGCCAGGCAAGGGGGAAAAAAAACCTGACTGAGCCACCACTGCATACCTTTATTTAGATTTTACATTGCCTTTTTGAAACAATTACATTATTATAGGAGCAGTTTAATTTATGGAGCAAGGTAAGTTAGACAGAAATGGAGGCACATTCATAAAATATAACTTCTGGACAAACAGTGAGTCTACCATACAAACCAGACAGTAGTGACACTGTTTCTACCATCAGGAAAAGAAATAAGCTCTTTCTTCAGAGGAAGACTACAAATACAATGAGGACTGTTAACTGAAAAACCAGGCCATGAATTATATTTTATCTCAAGGCAATAATCACATCTCCAAGGAGCTAATACTTTTGATAACACTAATATAACATAACATAATATGAATTGTAACAATCACCACTTTTAGGTCATTTTTCAAAGGTCTTTATATTCTTATTAATTTGGTGGCACAAGAAAAAAAGCTAGTGATTTGTTAAATGCATCTATATTACACAATATTACAATATTCAGTGATGAATGGCTATTTAAATAACAAGGCTTTTTAGACATCTTCCTCAGGCTTTTAAGCAGGTTCTTACTAACCTGAAGTCTTTGTCTTTCCATCATCAATGCCAAAAGCCAGTGATTCCAACATATCAGCTTTTCTCCTATGATATTCAGATGGTTGCATTCTTCCAAAAGCTACTTCTTTTGCCATGGCTTTTAGTGATTGCTGTTTGTATCCTCCAGAACCATCTAAACCATATTGTCTCTGTCGTGGATAAAATATTCTTTTAAGAGGAAGTTTTGCTGATGCCTTGAATCATAGCTTCCATAATGCCTTACCACTGACCATACTGAATGGGATCCAGGGGGCATCAGATTGGGAATGCTTCTCTAGAAGCAACTTGGTATCAACTTGATGTATTAGGCTACAGATCGCAAGGAACAATTATAGCTGAGTTCCAGAATAGTAAACGAACTGTGTAAGGCTTCAATATATTACTATTTGTAGAGTACTATGTTTGGAAAGTGCATGAATATTCTATAGAGAGCTTTGCCTAAAAAAGTCCTACCCTACCTCTTTATTAATAAATCAAGAAATCTCATTTCAACTGCATTAAGAAGTGATGTAGAAACAACAGTGAAAAAAATATGCAACCACCCATGTAATACAGTAGCTTAAAAAGTGCATGTTAATTTATTTAAACATTTATATCCTGCTTTTCTTCCATCATTTGTGATTCCTGAGATTCCTGAGTTGTCTCCCATCCAGGAACTGACCCAACCCAGAACTGCTTTGGCAAGGTGACTGCTTCATGAAACAGACCTGTACCTTAATCAGTTAATCAGTTTGCTTCCAAAGACCAATCTCTTATTATTTATGAATTATGAATAAATAGGTACTCATACTTATTGCACATGTTCTACTTTCTCCCTGTATTTATTCAGAAGGGCTATCAAATATGCACTTAAAAAACTAATATCATACCTGCAGCTTTTGGAAATCATCTTTTTCTCGTCTTGCTGTTTCTGTTCTTCTTTGCCTATCCTCTTCATTTTGAAGATGCTGTGCCAATTCTAGATCATTCAAGTTTCTTCCTATTGTTGTCATATGTTAAAAATACGTAAGATTTGCTGAATTTCAAAATGTTGAATATCTAATGATCCTAAAATATACTTCATATGTTATATAATTTCAGCAACATCTACAGTTTCAAATTTGTAGATTAATTATGTATGTTTACACAAAAGTAACCTATACTCACTGAGGCACGGAATTAAAGTCTTAATTGTGCATATTATTTTCATAGTAATGAAAGGATGGACTAATTCAATACAATTCAAATCATCAATGTAGTATCACAGAAATTATAAATTGAAATCACACTGCCTATTTAATATATACAAACTGGTTTACCTGATCAGTAAATTATATTAATTTATACTTAGAGCACTGTTATTATCTTGCAGGGTGTATTTCTTCCCAGTCATAAGTGCTTTGTTTATTTCTAAGGTGCATATCATGGCTGGGGAAGACGGAAGTCCAGAACTATATTAACTCTTAAATACTAAGTAATGCTCGATGATCATCCTCAGTGGAGGTCAGCATCAGCATTCCTGCTAGCAGAGGAAGAATGGAGGAGTTTACCTTTCCCCTATATCTTTGAAACTCTGTTCCAGATCTGAGAAAGCTTCTCTGGAACAGTGTGGGGAGGATACCAATGGATGCCAGGAAGGAGGGAAAATGAACCACGCACATTCCTCTTTCTCTTCTTCCAGCAAAAATGTTTGTAAGATTGTTTTGAACTGGAGAACACTAGAAAGTTTCCAAGGGTACCCAGCATCATAGTATGCAGATATCTTTTTTAGAAGCAAAGGCTTATCACTCATTTCCTGGGCAGAACAATTTGCTTACATAAGATTAATAAAAATATAATTGCCTTCTTAAGAAAAGTAATATTCATAATTTGAAAATGGCAGAGTAAGAATTTATGAAACTCGGTGACTATTATAATACCAGACATGGTATCACTCAGTTGGGTAAAGCAGGAAACCTCATATGGCAAATTGGGAGGCATGGTTCTTAATGCTTAATGGGGGGCGGGGTATTATTTTTAGCTTCCAATATTAGAATTCTGCTAATCATACTGTATATTCTATTAGAGTGCATCTTATTTGTAAAAACAATTTACAGCTTTTTAAAAATGTGTATTGCCTTATTTCAATGTCCTTCATAGAAAAGCAATGACTCAAAAGCTTTAAGGCAGAGGCTTGTATCAATTATTCAAAAACCACAGCCTAAGATGTTTTATGATTTAAACTACTTAAACTGCAGGTTATTTATCTACTCTGAATACAAATGAGTATGCATGGTGTTTCAGTGTTTGCAAGATTCATTCTGCAGCACTAGAGGAAGCCAACTGACAATTCTGTAGCATCCTTCTATTGTTTTCTCTCTCACACAGTTGGATGAAACCAGAAGAAACACCCAGCACTTCCCAAATCATGTCAAATATCTTGAATTAGTTAAGAAAATATGTCTTATTTTGGAATCCTCTATTTTACCTTCTAAAATGCTGCATTCATCCAGGTGAAGTTCAACATGTTCTTGCAGAACTGGATAATCAGTACAAGCAAGATGGCATATTGGGCATTCATATAGACCCTGACCACTTTCTGCATTGAAAAAAATATTTTAAGGATAAATGATTAATTTATTGGTCATTCATCCAAAAATCAAGCAAACCAAGTAACCCCAAACAAAACCCCAAATGCTTAATATCATATTAAGAGTCAGCTTTTGTCTCAGAGATCTTTGAAACCCCAGTGAGATTTGACAGATTTATCTTGGGAGCAGTGCCACTTCTACAAGTGAAAAGTGGCCAATCAAATTTCTTTTCAACAATGGTGTTACTCAGAGACATAGTGGGAATTAAAACGGTGGCCCCAAACAACCTGATACTTAAAACACCATTAACAGCTGGCAGTCAGAGTTTGGCATTTTTAATGGCAGTTGAAAGTGCCAGACATACACAAAACAGAGCAGTATGAGTGATTTTTGTTGTATAAAGAACCAATATGGCATATTAGTTATGAAGACTAGGAATGAGGAAACCCAGGCTCTAGTCCACTCTCAGCCACAAAAGCTCACTAGTGATTTGGGGCCAGGCCAATCTACCTCACAAGGTTGTTGTTGTAGGAAAAACAGGATGAGGAGGGAGTGCCATGTGCACTGCCATGAGCTCCTCAACGAAGGGCAGGAAGTAAATTAAATAAATATATTGCCAGGGCGTAGTTACACAAACACCCAGTCTAACTGTTGCATGGAAAGGAATGGGTGAAGGGTTTTGAAGGTACATAAGAAAAATAAAAGGTGTGTGCGTCCACATAAAAGGCCGGGACACAATATTCGCAGGTATTTTGCACTCCCACGGCCACTGAAGAAATACAGATTTGGGGAAGGGAACAGGGAAGATTCTGAGCCCCTCTTCCCCGGCTCATTTTAATGAACGTTTTGCTTAAAATGAAGCCCGGATCCGGTTGTAATTAGGAAGACACCGAAGGGAGTTCCACGGATGTATAAGCTCCAAGAGCTCGGAAAGGAAACCGAAACTGCCCCGAGAGACTATTCGATGACGCCCCTTTGCATCTCTGCAACAGGCGCTTCGCCCCGTTTTACAGCGCTGGCAGGCGGGAGACCGCAAAGGGAAGCTCGCTTTGGTCTCGAGACCGCCAAGCCTCGCAGCTTCGGAAGGCGAAGGAAGGGGCTCTCCCCGCTGACTCACCGGGTAGCGGACATGGACGAACAGCGCGGGCACCGGCAGGCGGACTTCCCTGCCGCCCTCTCCCGGTCACGTCCATTACACTCTAACGGGAGAACCCTGAGCGGCTCCTCCTTCTGGGGATGCAAGAACGCCACGCCCCTTTAGACCGAGCCAAACAATTGCAAATCGTCCTGCGCGCGCCGCTGTTCGGAAGCGAACGAAGGCGGGCGGCTGCGCGAGCGAGCTCCGTATTTGTTTTTTTAAAGCTCTGCTGCCCCATGTGTTTAGCCCCGTTAATAATGCAACATCAAGACTCGTTTCTCAAAAACTGCTTTGCACATGGCTTCTAGCTTCTTGGCCTGCGCACCCGCTACTCTCAGTTAGATGGGGGCGGTCACTCTGCCTTGCGTTCTGTTTCCCGTTCACGAGCTCTGCGGTATCGACAAGGCAGCATTTCTAGCCGGCGCGCATAGATAAATTCTGAAACAGGCAAATTCAAGAGAATAAGGTTACGAATGGTTGTTTATCACAGTGATACATTAAAAGCAGTCACAACCATGTTGGTCTAAAGGAAAATATCTATCGTATTTTGGTATTTTGAAGGATGGTTACCAGGAATGTATGTTGGACAAGTTTTGCATTTTTAACTCCGTAACGACCAGCAACAAGGTGGATGGACTCGGTTACAGTGGCGATGAGTGCACCTTTTGGAGACCTGAAAGACCAGGCTAGGGACAGATCGCCATGGAGAAAATCCATCTATGCGGTCGCTAGGAGTCGAAAACGACTCGATGGCACATGATCAATCAACCAACATATTTGTTTTTAGCGGAAAGGAAAAGAAAAACGTTCCGAGGAGCAAAAAAGGAGGGTTCCAAAGAGAAGACTTTCATTGTGTGAATGAAGCAGATGGGCGGCTGCCCAATAAAAGCTTAGCCTGAAACCACCCTGTCTGAATTCCTTGCCAGCTTTAAAGTTAAAGCCTGTTCGCTGAAAGAGCCAATACCGACGTCTGCATTTGGACGATGCGTCCTGAATGTACGTTCTCTTTGCAGGGAGCGGCTAAAATATTTGCACATAAACTTTCAAGCCAACTTGTCCCGCAGGTCAATGAGCATCCTTCTACCCCCGTCTGTCTCTATGGATCAAACTCGTCTGAGCTTTCGAAGACCGCGGCGCTGTTCGCCCGATTCGCGGCTCCTTCTCTTCGGCGCGCGAAGGGGACGCTGGGAAGAGAGGCGGGGCCCAGTTTAGCGTTCAGTGGGTTTTGGGCCGCCATCTTCAATTGCGAACCCGATTTCTCCGTGAGGGAGAGCCAGTGGCTCTGGTGGCAGCTGGGGTCGCCCTCCGATGGTACGTGGGTGTTTAGGGACGTGAGGTGAAGGATGGACGGATGCAGGGATACACTGTGGCGTTTCTTCATAGAGTCTAGTTGGGAGACCTGACCAGTAAAATCGAATTAAGCCCATTCGGGAGAGGGAGGGATTTGCGACTCTCTTTCGCTTTTCTCCGGCACTCGAGAAGCTGCTCCTGAAATAAACAACCACCCGGTGCAGTTGGGGAGAGGAGAATTATTCTTCTTTTCTTTGCATATTTTCCTTCTGTCTCCTCCCGACTCCGGACCGGCGGCACCCACCCTCTCTTCGACTTGGCGCCTTCGTGCCCGGTAGAATTGGCAAGGGATATCTGGAATCGTGCATGCTTACTTAGGGGTAATCCGGATTGGAAATTCGTCGGATCCATGTCCGAGCGAACCCGAGTAGGGACAGCTGTTTGAACACTGCTTTCTGATAGTGGAAATTAAAAAAAAAATCTGGAAACAATCGTTAACTCAACAGCAGTTCCTCATGCATGTAATCAGGGATTACAATGTAAGGCCAGGTATGCCAAAAATGGTGAGCATCTGCCCCCGCTCTCTTAGGCAGCTGATGCCGCTCCTGATACTGCTGAACTGCAATTCCCAGCATCCCTAGGAAGCATAGCCAAAGCCAGGGGATGCTGGGAATAGTAGTTAAGCACTAAACTCTTTGTTTCCCCGGGAAAGAATCCTGTAGCAGGTGGCGAGCTAGCTTGGACACCCTTCTTTGAAGTGCCCCAAATTCAAACTTCTATATTTGGCATTCATAGACACAGGGCAGAGTGTCTAATGCCTACCTGTCCTGGCTTTGGTTAATGATACCCCAGACACTTTCAGGGAGCAGTGCCAAACTCTGTCATTTTAGTTTAGACAAGGGAAGACCAGTTAGGAGAGAAGGGCTTGTATGCTTCATTGTAGTGGGAAAAGTTGTTTGAATTGCCAGAAAAACACACCCAGCATGCCTCATAACAGGGTATTAACATGATTACATTATCATATTACGGATATCTCAATTCTGCATAAAGCCTCTTGTTGGTAGGGTTGTATTGGCCACTGTAATTGTATGCTTGATGATGAGCCTCTGAAGTTTTGAATTCAGTTCTGTATCTGAAAAGATGCAAACATTTTCTCTTTATGATTAGATCAGCTGCCCATTTACAGAACACAAAATATGTTCTATGTCTCTCTAGGATTTTCCAGATTTTCCTATGCATATGATATAAAAATGAATTTCAGACAATTGTTAATTCTTTCTTGGAGTTTTGCTGACTGTGCCCTCTCCATATGAAGTATAGCTGGTTCTCAGGAAGGGACCAAAATTGTAGAATCTGATACTTAGGAATGTACACTTTGTCTTTGTAATGCTTCTGAACTGCTGATCATTCACCCATTGGAGGTTCTGTGCATCAGTTAATTTGGTTCTGTATTTTGTGCTGCTATAAACAGTTTGGTTTTGATGTGTAGCTGTTAGTTCCTATCATGCTGCTTATATTATTATTTTAAATATCAAAAGGTGCTTTTTGGACTTTGCAATGGAAACACAATTAATTGGTGTTCTAAAAATAATAGTTTTTTCTTCAGTCACCCATGCATTTTAAGGATTTTATATACAAACCCAGAAAATGGGGTTAATTCAGTAATTTATTTAGAATTAAGACCCACTTAACTTAATGGCACTCATTACATGGTATGTTTGTGCAGAACGGAACTAAACAAATGAAGTAGTTTGTTATGCCTATACATGTTTATGTTATATATTTGACATAAAATTTTATACCCACTTACCTGGGAGAAGGCCCATTAAAAAGCTTCTTTCTCAGGTGTAGACTTGTATAAAACTGTAATATAAATAGTATTTGAATTGTTAATTTTTTTAATCAATTCCACATAATAGAATATGTCAGTAGACATATAAGTATTTAGAGTATGATTGTGAAGATGATGATTAAGAAAGGATCCCAGTTCTCCTGTTGTGGCATTGTTTGTCATGAGGACAAACACAAATGGAAAGTGCCATTCAAACAAAGGATAACAGCAGTGAAAACTGAGGAAATACTTAGTATATTGGGAGATAAATTGTTGTTGTTCAGTCGTTAAGTCCGACTCTTCATGACCCCCATGAACCATATTGCACCAGGCCTTCCTGTCCTTCACTGCCTCCCTGAGTTTGCTCAG